AAACAACCACCTGATTGATTTTAGTCATTCAACTATAATAACCAAAAATCCAAAGATCACCAAATAATCCAAATACATGCAAGCTGTTTCTTTTTTGCTCTTTTTTTCACTTTCTCTTCCTGGGGTTACTATTTAGTGGCAAAGTTTCAGTTAAAATGTATCTTTTAGAAGTCTTGTTGAAGTTTTACTGTAGATTCTTTTTAATTCCAGGCAGTCTCCTCCCTCTTCCAGATCCTGCCCTTATTCTTTTTCTCTCCCTTCCTGCTTATGAAAAAGATTTAATGTCTAGAAATCTTTATTATCCCTTTGGCATTTTGTTTTATTTTCAGCTTAATTGCCTACTGATGCCAAAGTGGATTTTTCTGATTTCTTATTTAAGTCTCTTAGTTGTCAGTATAGGGAAGGAGAGAGAAGAAGAAAAAAAAAAAAGCCAAACCTTTCCCTTTTCACTTTCCTTCGCTGCTTCCGACTCTTTTTTGGGAGCGATGTTAATTTTTCTAAGTTTAAATTCCAGGGTACCTTGGTTGTTGCTTTTACAATTAAACCCGGTCAGCCAAAACTTTCACTTCTTATCTTCCTCCTGCACGTTCTTTTCCGGTCAAGTTCTTCTTTGTGGTGGCCATTTCTGACCACCGCTGCAACCGCCTTCGGGAAAGGGAGTAATGGCCAGCTGACGAGGAGAGATGCGGCTCTCCTCGACCCTGCTGGTGGTCTCCCCCCTCTTCACCACCTCTACGGGGTGGCTTAGCCCCGAAACCAGCCAGCTCAGGGCGCTCCAGCGGTGAGCCCAGACAGGAACCGCGTATGATTGTGGATTTCTGTCTGTTGCTGAAGCCCTTCAAACCGGAAGCTCTCTTTTTATTTTTCTGATATGTACCCATTTCATGTATTCATAACTATGTTTTTACTTATACCTATTATCTTGTAAGCGATTGACAAATCAAATCAATAAATAAATAAATAAATAAATAAAAATATAGGCTCCCCTGCTTGAGCAGAGGGTTGGACTAGAAGACCTCCAAGGTCCCTTTCAACTCTGATTCTCTATTCTATTTATCTGGGTGGAGCCTTGATGAAACTTTGGGATGCTCTCCAGAATTCAAAAGAGGTACATCACCTAAGCTTGACACCTGTGGTAAGGTGTCAGGCATTATTTCCAAGTTTCTCAACCTTGGTTATGTTACGTTTAAGTGATGCTCAATGCTCAGAACTCCCCAGCCAGCATGCCCTCAACTTATGACCACAGTTGGTAGCAGAACACAAGGTCGAGGACTTCCTGTGCATTTAATAAATGAATAAATAAATTTTCCATGGTCAAGTGGAGAACTACCTGTACTCAGAGAGTTATTGTTGTGGCTCGCCGGCAGCCGATACAGATGGCAGAGGAATTGGACAGTGGGGAAGAATGGGGACCAGTCTGGAAGTCTGGAGAGGACTCGGACGAGGGTCCTGCATCCGATGCAGAGATGGGGCCAGGACTATCTGGGAGTGGGGTGCTGCCTCTTGAGTCTCCGGAGTCTGGCAGCAGCAAGGCAGAGGAGCAAGGGGAGCCTGTTCCCAGTGCGCGTGTGTGCAGAGCTGCCAGAAGGCAAGAGCAGCTAAGACAACAGGGGTGACTCGGGAGTAAGGCTGGGAGGTGATTGCCCCTCCCATCATCTAGAAAGAAAGTGCAAAGGTAGGAAAACCTTTGCAGGAAGCAACGTCATTCACTCTGATCAGGTTGGGTTCTGAAAGGTCTGTGGTGAATTTGTTCTCTGTTTGGTTTTGGAAAGACTAATTGGGACTTTAGTCGTTGGCAGCACTTCAAGTAAGATAAGGTGCGTTCTTATCAGGTGCCCTTACGAAGAACTTTGGCAGATGTCCCTGGGGCTAATTATAACCGGTTAAGTCTCATACCGGCCTGTGAATGACGATAATTCACAGCCATTGAACTAAAATAAAAGAGGTTTGGATTTTCCATGTTGTGATGGCCCAGGGCATGACACAAAAGCAACAAAGTCACAAAAGTAGGTAAAGTCCCTTTAATTCCTCCCACTTGGCCCCCAATGTTCAGTTATCATCGGCTGGAGAAAAAACTCTCCCAAGAACAGTTTTTAAAGGGAAGAAATTCAGTCCGAACCCAAAGTAGATATAGATTATAAATAAAAACCAACACAAACCACGCTGCAGCAATTAACGAGACAGGGCAGGATAAGGAATTGCAGACTTCAAAACACACACAGTTGGGAGGATGCCAGAACACAGATAAGACTTGACAAACAAAGATAATGCATACTTTGCTTCCAGCAAGGTGCTGTGCACAAACATCCTTTTTAAACCCTGTTATCCCAGCTGCAGCTAATGAAGGGAATCAGGGCCCTTTTCTCCCCATAAGCCACTTTGCTCCCTTCTCTGTTCCTCCCTGCATGCCCTTAGGATGAAGGGGGGATGGGCCTGGGTCTTCCTCTGAATGCCCAGCCAGTCTGTGCCCTTCCCCAGGTTCCTCCACAACCACTGGAGCCACACTCCCACTTCCTGTCAGCTGTTCAACCTCCCCCTCGGAATCAGATGCCAACAGGGGCATGACACATGTGTTTGTTGGTGTCTCAGGAAGCCTTGGTCAGAACAGCGCTTAGGAGGGGAGATCTAACAATGAGAATCACCATTTTTGAACATAACAAGAACGTTTCTCTTGAAGGCCACTTAAAAACTTCTCCTACCTCTTTTGTTGGCGGAGGTATCGCCGTGCCAGTGAGATGAGACATCTCTTGTGGTTTATCCATCTCCATCCAGGTTTGTTTGCCATTGGTTGCCTTCTTTTTCTCCTCCTCCTCCTCCTCCTTCTTCTTCTTCTTCTTCTTCGCAACACACGCATAGCTGGGTCCACCTGCCTGGACGTTCTCCACTATCTTATCAGCCGCAGGATGACTGTTCTGGTTTTCTTCTGCCTCCACTCTCTGGGATTCGCACAGCGTCACCTCCCCTCGTTTTGGGAAGCTGAGGTTGGAGTAGGTCACCTCTGGAGAAAGCAAGACGTTGGGCAGGTCCCCCTGAGGGAGGAAGTAGAAGCTGCAGCTGCCCACCGTGTCATCGTCTTTGTCCGACAGGCGAGGAAGAGTCAGCAGGGCTGGTGCGATGTCTGCAGAGGGAAACACACTGAATGTCAGGGTCCTAAGTAATACACCAGGGATCCCCAAACTTGGCAAATTTAAGACCTGTGGACGTCAACTCCCAGAATTCTCCAGCCAGCATAGTTTACTCTCCTGTAATCCCTTCCTCAGCAATCTCTCCATTTTGGGAGGTTAAGAGAAAAACAGACACAGCTGGCTGGAGAATTCTGGGAGTTGAAGTCCACAAGTCTTAAAGTTGCCAAATTGGGAGACCTCTGTAATATACACACAACAAGCAAAACTCCGAAGCCGGTAGTTTCCTCAAAGGATAGTTTTATTGGCTATATCATATTGGCACAGTTCTGGTGAAAACCGACTCTGGTGTTTCCCTGCGGTTTTCACCTAATTCAAAGGTTTTTTTCTCCTTCCCCAAACAATCAGTCACATGGTCCAATTAGGTGCAGGGCTGGGCTACTGGGGGTTCGCAGGGGTTCAGGAGAGCCTCTAGCTAAGGTTCTGCACAGTTTGGATGACCCCTCCCAAATCCCACTCCTGGCTGGCCCCGCCCAACCCACCCCGCCCCTCCCAGGAGTCCCCATGTGGCCTATTTTGGGTGCAGGTAAGTGCAAGGTGTGTGCGGAGGCTCAGTGAGGGCAAAAAACAGGCCTCCCGGAAGTTCGGGAAGGCCGGAAATGTGCCTGTTTTTGGCTTCCAGAAGCCTCCAGAATGGCTGTTTTGCGCCCCCTGGAGGCTCGAGGAAAGCCTCTGGAGTCTGGAGAGGGCAAAAACGCCCCCCCCACTGTGGTGCAAGAGGCTGACTAGGCCACACCCACCATGGCCACGCCCACCCAGCAACTGGGCAGAGAACCCTTTGCTAAAATTTTTGAAGCCCACCCCTGAATTAGGGTGCCATCCTGTCGCCCGGTAACGTTGTTCCTCCTCTCTCTCTGACCGGGTGTGAGAATGTCCTTGGTTCCCAGGAGATGTGATGACCCGGGGCGTGACGCAAAAATAAGCAAGTCACAAAAATAGCATGAAGTCCCTTTAATGCCTCCAACTTGGGCCCAATGTCCGATTATCCTCGGCTGGATATCAAACTCTTAAAGAAAACAGTCTACGGAGGACAGAAATGCAGTCCGAACCCGAAGTAAAGATAATTAGAAATAAAAACAACAACACAAACCACACTGAAGGAATTAACACGGCAGGCCAGGATGATTAATTGCAGACTTCTACCAGATAACGCAGCAACCACAGCTGGGAGGAAGCCAAAACACAGAGAAGCTCCGACAAGAATAATGCACGCTTTGCTTCCAGCAATTTTGCCATGCAGAGTTTGTCCTTTTAAACAGTCTTCCCAGCTGCAGCCCATGAAGGGGATCAGGGCCCTTTCCTCCACCGTAGACCACTTTTCTCCCTTATCCACTCCTCCCTGTGTTCCCTAGAATGAAGAGGGTCTTTCTGGGTCTTCCTCTGAATGCCCAGCTGGACTATGCCCTTCCCCAGTTTCCTCCACAACCACCAGAGCCACACTCCCACTCCCTGTCAGCTGTTCCTCCTCTCCTTCAGAGTCAGACTTCAACCGGGGCATGACAGGTGAAAGTATTTTGTTTTGGCTACACAACCCCAGCTATCTCTACTCTCCCCACCCTCCCTATCCCTCAGCTCCAGTGTGGCAACCCTTGAACCTTCCAAAATGGCTTCAGGATTGACGGTTGGTGATTTTAAGGCAGGCGTCTCCAACAACGGCAACTTTTAAGACTTGTGGACTTTTTGTCAGAAGAATTAATTTGGGGTTCCAACTCGAGCCAGGCTTGCGGAAGAATAAATAAAAATGAGATCCGGGCAGCTGTGAGGAAAGCAGAAATATAGGTATCCCTCCACTGACGGCCACAATTGGAGCCCAAAAGGTCTGTTGTTAAGTGAGACATTTGCCAAGTGAATTTTGCCTCTTTTTACCACCTTCCTTGCCTCGGTTGTTAAGTGAATCACTACAGTAGGCAAAATTAGTAATCTGGTTGTTAAGTGAATGTGGTGTCAACTCATAAAACATTCCTAGGCCTGTTTTAGTAATTGCCATTAAAAAAAAACTGGGGGGGGGGGGGGAGAAGAAGGAAACCTGGAAGAACAGTGCAGCAGTTTTGAAAGTGAAATTACTGTACATTCCAACTCTTACCTTTAAAAGATTGTAGCTAAAATACTGGAGATTTTTGCCCGGGAATATATTTAATTGGAGAACGTGATGGATGACACCCAGCCTGTGAACGGCCTCAATTGGAGAATCTGGTTTATGAGATGCTCAGGGGGGAGGGGGGGAAACAGGGTCACAGGCAGTGGTGGTATTCAGCCGGTTCACACCGGATCGGGCGAACCGGTAGCAAGGGTTTGGCATGGGTCGGCAAACTGGTAGTAAGTTCTGGCTGGCCACGCTCCCGACCTGGTTGCCCGGTCACTGCTGGCTCGTTGGCCCCACTTGCCCGATGCTCACTCACCCCGCCCACCTGACGGTGGCCCCTTAAGGTATTTCTTTCTTTTTTCCCCCCTCCCGACGATCAGCTGTTCATCCAATCAGATGTGCCGGGATTCCCCTCGCTGACGCCCAGGAAGGCAAAAAATGGAGGGAGGGGCTAAGTCGACCCTCCATTTTTTTTTCTTCCTGAGCCCCAAAGGAGACTTCTGGGAGCAAAAACGCCCCCACCCCCCCCGAAGCTCCTCTGAGGTCCAAAAGGCCCAAAAAACGGGTGGGGAGATGGCTGCAAAAAAGCAAAAAAACAAACAAAAAAACTGCTCACTCAGTCACATGGCCACGCCCACCTAACTACGTCCATCAAGCCACGCCCATAGTTCTAGAAAAGCTAGAACTATGCCGCCTTTGGTCCGATCTAAGTATAGTATATAAAATCATACATTGCAATGTCCTACCTGCAAATGAATCCTTCAGCTTCAACCACAACAACACAAGAGCGAACAATAGATACAAACTCAAGGTTAATCGCACCAAACTTGATTGCAGGAAACACAACTTCAGCAACAAAGTGGTCAATGTCTGGAATACTCTACCCTACTCTGAAGTTTCTTCCCCAAACCCCAAAAACTTTAACCTTAGACTGTCTACTCTTGACCTCACCCCATTCCTAAGAGGTCTGTAGGGGGCGTGCATAAGCGCACCAACGTGCCTACCGTCCCTGTCCTATTGTTTCTTTTATTTTTTATTTTTCTTATATGTATCCATGTATTCATAACTATGTTTTTACTCATACCTATTATCTTGTAAACAATTGAGAATAAATAAATAAATAAAATAAAATAAAATATTTTAGTATTGTCAAAGAAGATTGAGATTTGTAAAAAGTTATTTCTAAATTTATGTTTCAAATTTCAATAAAGGTTAATTAAAACATTTTAAAAAAAGAATAAAATATTTAATGGATATAAAACATCTCGCAACTTCAATTCCCAGAATTCTTCAACCAGCCAAGCTGGCTGAGGAATTCTGGGAGTTGAAGTCCCAAGTCTTAAAGGAGTCAACTTTGACGACTCCTAGTTTAGGATAAGATTTTTTTGAGTTAAAATGGGTCTTGGGCTGCCTTAAATGTTGAGGTTTGACAACCTGTTGTTTTTTTCTAGAGCCATAGAAAATGACTGGCTGTTGAGACAGGAAACCCACAACAATTAACCGAAACCTGACTGAGTTTTAAAAAACAAAGGCTCGCCCCCTCACATTCACATATGCCAAAGAGACAGGAAACCCACAAAACTTAAAACAGAGATTCAACTAAGTTTTTCAAAGAATGATTCCTTCTCTTCACCTGCGCGCGCCCCACACCCCTAGCACAATAGAGATAGCTTTTGACTGACAATCATTTGCTTAATGACTGTTCAAAGGTGCAATGGCACAGAAAAAGATGATTTATGTGACCCATGCTTGCACTTATGACCATTTGCAGTCACGTGAGGAAAAATTATCACGGTCACGTGAGGAAAAATTATCATGGTCACGTGAGGAAAATTCAGAGGCTTGGCAAACGCTGTGTTTTTGACGGTTGCAGGGCCCTGAGTTCAAGTGATCCTGATTTGTGACCTTCTCTGAGGTATCTGAGATATTTCTCTCTCTCTGGCCACACTGAGAATGTATCTTTTGAATAAAACTCTGTACTGGCAACAGGAAGGGCATCTGGCCAGTAAACACTCAGCTCCATTCAGTTGCCCGGACTCCACTCCGCAAGGGATTATGGGGTCATGAAAAAGAGGATGATGGTTTCATGGAAAAGTTGGGGAGCTCCAATTCTGATGAAAAACATCTGGCCACTTACTTGCAACCCCTGGATCACTCCCGCTGTCCTGCTGCAGATTGGGCAGTGAGCCTCCAATTGCCAAGGGTGCCATCGGTCCTGGCACAGCCTGCAAAATGACAAGGGAAACCGGTGAGGCAAGGTTCAGAAGCAGGAACCCCAAAGGGAATCTTTCTGGGCCTGGAATTCTGTGCACGCATGTCCTCTTGGGTGCTTGCCCTTGCTATGTTTCTCTGCAACAGCAACCCAGTAAGGTAGGCTGGCAAGAGAGAGAGGGAGAGGGAGAGGGAGAGGGAGAGGGAGAGGGACAGAGAGAGAGAGAGAGAGAGAGAGAGAGAGAGAGAGAGAGAGAGGCATGAATTTCTCCAGAGGCAGCTTCTACGCCTATGGGAGGATTAGAACCCAGATCTCTCTATTCTTAGTCTAGCATCTTCTCTACTGTACTTAGAGCTGAGATGTGGATAAAGATGATAGCTATCGATATAGATAGATTAGATAGATAGATAGATAGATAGATAGATAGATAGATAGATAGATAGATAGATAGA